ATTTCCGAAGATGTAATATTACATTTTCCCAAATTCACTGAACCATTTGAACTAACCACTGACGCATCAAACTATACGTTAGGCGCTGTCCTTTCACAAGGAGGCAGGCCAATAACCGTCCTTTCACGAACACTTAGTTCATCCGAAGAAAATTACGCTACAAATGAAAAAGAAATGCTAGCAATTATTTGGGCACTTCGAGAGCTACGCTGTTTTCTCTATGGTGTAAGCAAACTCAAAATTTTCACAGATCACCAGCCACTAACTTTTGCGCTTAGCAATAAAAACACTAACACTAAAATGAAAAGATGGAAGGCTCAGTTAGAAGAATATAATTACGAACTTTTTTATAAACCAGGCAACACCAACATAGTTGCAGATCTTTTATCTAGACCCCCTCAGGCCAGTTTAAATTCATTAACCCCTACTATGCACAGTAGCGAAAGCTCGTCAGAAAATTTAATACATTCAGTAGAAATTCCTATTAATGGTTTTAAAAATCAAATATTCCTTGAAATTAACGAAAGTTCGTCATACCAATTCAAAATAGTATTTCCCACGTATCACCGACACATAATTAAAGAAAAAGAATTCTCGATTGAACATTTAAAACAATTACTTAAGCGATATCTAAACCCGTCAGTCATAAATTGCATAAAAACAACTGAACCAATTATGCTTAAAATCCAAAGCATTTACCCATTACATTTTTCGAATTATAAAGTACGTTTTACCCAAATTGTAGTAGAAGACATAACGAACGAGCAGGAGCAGCAAGAAATCATAATAAAAACTCACAATAGAGCACACAGGAACGAAAAAGAAAATAGACTTCAAATTTTAGAAACAGCATATTTTCCACCTATGAAGCATAAAATTAAAAAAATTCTTAAACTTTGTAAAATTTGCAAGGAAAATAAATACGAACTACACCCAAATAATATAAAACTTGGAGAAACACCCTTACCCAGGTATCCAGGACAATAGACAGTGTGTGAATACAATCATACTATTCATTCTACCACAGGAAAAAAACCATTTGATTTATTTTTTGGAAGACCTACTAACTTTGGTACAGCAGACTACGAAAGAACCAGAAACAATAATTAGAAAAAACTTATAAAAAAACAACATCAGGATTTAGATTTTCACAAAATATCAGAGTAGGGACTAAAATGTCTAAACGTTTTAAAGAAGAAATAGTAAAAGAAAACAAGCACTCTATTGTTACTACGCAATCCGGAAAAATTGTCCATAAAAATCATATAAGAAATTAAAAATTTCTTCATTCTCCCCTGCCCACCAGGTTCATCTCATGTTGCTATGCCACATACGAAATTTTGGATTACTCCAAGTCCGAGGTAGCCATCATCGAGCTAGGAGATAGTAAAGTACAGTCAGGAAATTTTAAAATTCTACACCATATTAACATTAACGACTATAAGGTCACCACAGATCAAATAGAAAAAGAACTCACTAACATTTCCCAAAACAATCCTCTTTTCCCTTGTATAAAGAATGAAATCAATCTAATTAACTTTCAAATTAATAAACTAACTTCCCACGTTATACGTAAACGGGCCATAAACGAAATCGGATCTGTATGGAAATGGATTGCAGGAAATCCAGACCATGAAGATTTCGAGATAATCTCAAGTAACTTAAACAATATAATAAAAAACAATAATGAACAAGTTCTAATAAACAAAGACATTATAGATAGGATAAATAAGATAACCAGCGACAATAATGTCATAATTAAAAATTTAAAAAATTCAGAAAACTTCCAAAATATTCGGGCTACGCAGTTAAAATGTAAAATAGATTTAATTAAAGAAGATTTAAGTAACATAAACCTTGCTATACATTTGTCGAAAGCCAATATTGTAAACACTTTTATAATTTCCTAAGAGGAAACTAGAATAATAAGTAACATTTTTGCTGAAGAAAATATTCCATTTAATAACATAGAAGAAGCCTTAAATTTTGCAAATATCAAAATCGCATTTAATGGCGAAAAGCTCATTTATGTAATCGACATCCCTAAATCTGACAAAGAAATTTGTAAACATTTACTTTTAAAACCTTTAAAGAAGACAGGAAATGTAATTAAAATAAAATATGAAAACATAATAAAATGTAAAAATGCAGTTTTTGCTATTAACAATCAATGTAAAAATATTAATAAAATCAGTATGTGTTTAAAGTCAAACATTATAGATATCTCAAACGATAATTGTATTGCTAAGTTACTAACAAGCAGGCACAATAATTGTACCATTACCAATAATGACCATATAAAAACAGTAGAATCAATAGATACTGGCATTATTCTGCTTAATGATTTTAAGGGTAACATTTCTATCGATAACGAACTAAAACCCATTAAAGGGTCCTTTGTAATTAAGTTTAACAACTGTACATTAGGCATAGGAAACGAATTTTTCTCTTCATATGAAACCTCCAACTTTAAACCACTACCAGCCATGATCCAACTGGAAAGGCCAATAACGGCAATAGAAGAGGTGTTGTCACTGCAGCTAATGAGAGATCTCCATACCAAGAACACTGAGAAGATAGGCATACTACGAGACAATTTCAAAACAAACACCATCACTAATTTCGGAGTAACTGCCGGAATACTATTGGTCTTCGTGGTTTATGCACTAAAACTCAAGCTGTGCAGGCAAACCACTGTTATTGAAGTTACAGCCACTCCCACCAGCAACGAACAGCGCCCAGACAAAGTTGACGTAACAGAAACTCCCCCGGAAAGCCACGTAAAAAAACACAGAAGCATCCACGATTTACCTGGTTTCTAACAATCGACCGGGACGTTCGAGATCAGAGAGGGAGGAGTTAATACCTAAGATATCAAAAATAACAACACCTTTGATATCCAGCTTACCAACATTTGGTTCCCGCACGTGGCCATTCAACGTGCTGGGAAAAGCTGAAGCAAGGTGTCGCGTATGCAACTTTAGGTGCATAGCAGGTCAACGCGCTCATGGGACAGCCAACCGTGGGATCGCTAAATTGGCATATTTACCGCACATGCCAATAATTGTGGAATCAGCGGAACCAATAAAGTTCGTTGGTTCCCAAGAAATGCGAACCCCTGCGAAATGCAGAATGGGGGCATTTCCACAGATGCAACAACACCAAGCTGGAGACGCCGACGCCGACAGCGACGCTTCTTCGTTGGACTGAGGTTTCATTAGGGATTAATTAAGATATAAAAATTAGTTTATAACTGGAACTCAATGTAAGCACATAGTGCTGATGAATAATAAAAATTATATTTTTTTATAAATATTACCATCAAATTGGTTAATTTATATGCTCACTAGCACAGGCATATGCAAGCTACTCACTCTCCCTCTCTTTGTAGCTGTTAACCAGAAACAGCATAAGTATATACATGTACCCATAGGCTAAGAGCATTATATTGACTTTGAATAAATTCATTCTAAAGAACTATGCAAACCAGCACTGACGTGCTCTTGTCAATCAAGTGGTATATCATTATTATACGCGCGTCAGACATGTGCTACTTATGAAATATTCTTTTGCGCCCATGATCTGCGCATTCACACTCATTTGTGTGTGTGTGACTGTGTGTAGAGGTCGAAAATCAGAAATCCCAACATCTTGTCAAATTTGCATCGGACAGGCAGGCAGGCACCAATAGGCACACAAGCGCATAAATGCTTCTATTCACATACAAAATATGCAAGTATGCGTGAATAGCAAGTCCAAAAACTTTTAAATGCACACATGCCAACGCTTAGGTACCCTTTCAACAATAATGAGCTAAAACCCTTTTCGTTATTTCAGAGCAAGCCAAAGCAGTTTCCTCTAGTGAACGCGAATAAATAGACATCATATGTATATCTTACTCTCTTGCTCTCGATTTTGGACCAGATGTCGCCAATTTTTGATGATTTCCAAACGACGTCATTGTCGCTCTACGAAATTTTTTCAATCATCACGGAGTAACAATGTTGGTGATCAAAAGAAATTAGCAGCCAACGACCCTTTGCTGAACATCACAACGATCTTAAACGAGACTTTACGCCTTTAAATTTTAAAGTTATTGGTTGGGAAACACTTTACATAAACATAATCATTATACATAAGTGACTTCAAATAAGCCATTAACGTTAAAATTGTGTTTTTGACCGACGAATTTACAGCAACCAAAAAGCCACAAAAAGCCACAGTCAATTAAAGAATCTATAAGGAAGAATTTGCATAAAATACGACGCAATTAAATTACGTTGCAACTTTTCTATAATATTCCACATGGGCAGCACATTTACTCTTTAAAAATTGTTCTAAGATCAAATCAATTTTAAATTCAGGGTAACTTTTATTTTTTTAGATCCGGTGATGACGGTGTCCCAATCATTAGCAAGGTCGTAGAAGCAGTTACAATCAAAAAGAAACCGACACTTTCGAACTCTGGCTGTTTTTCTATCAGGCGCAGTCATTTGCTGATCTTTTTTGAAAGTCATGATGTAGATTGAAGAATATCTTCCAACAACAACAAGAATAAAATGTTCAACTGCGCGAAATAAACAAAAATAATCCAAGACGATCCGCTTTGTTAAATTTCGCTACGTATTGTTTGATTATTTTCAGTATAACACAATCCTATGTAAACAATGTTAATCTTAATCTAACTATGAAACGAAACCTGCTAAGATTGGTCATTTTCAACTAAATTTTCAGAGCTTTAAATCCCGCGCTATATTTTTTTTTAACATTAAACAGTTGCACGGTTAAAATAACGATGTATTAATTCAAATATACACCTAAAGAGTTATGTTGTTTCACCGTTATTTCAGTGGCTCGAATATCTCTTTGTTTCTAATATGATTGATAACATGAAATATATGAATGGACATACAAAAATACAATTTATTCTGAAGAAACATATCTTGAATTTTTGTAAACAGATTTAAGGATTCATTTTGTTCATTAAATACTTTTCTCCATTTTTACTTTTAAAAAAAGTTGTATATTTATACGTATAGAAGATTTTAAATATTACAAATTTTTGATGAAGCAGACGATGAATCCGATTGATCAAAATCAATTTTTGCATATGAACTATTGCTCTCAAAGCAAATTGGTGTTGGCGAAGATTCACATGACACTTTTTTAAGGCTATTTGTTGTCATTTGCCCACTACATTGTGGAAGGTCTAAGCTTGCATAATAGAGTTCATATTCGCACAATCCTGAAGATAATCCAGTCGCACCCTGATCTAGAATATGCTCTGACAATGCATCCTCATTTAAATCTTTTGATTCTTTTTCGTTTAATATTTTACATTTAGTGGGCGTATTTAGTATTGCCTCCTTTCGATCAACTTTTTTCAAATCTTCTAAATGATATTGTCGATTTATTTGTTGTTTATAAGATGGTCTTTGATTTTTTTTCTTTGAAATAAGAGAACTATCACTTTTGATTTGAAGAATTTGGTAGCCAACTTCCTTAGTATCAGATGCATTTGATTTGTTTACATGCTTCGTGTAGTCTTCGTTACTAATAGAATGTATTAATTTTCTTCCCACTGTGTCAGCATTACCTATATCTAAAGCAAAACTTACTATTGCATTTTCCGTTTTGTTCTTTTCCAGCTTGGTATGCTCTTCACTTGTTGGGAAAGATTTGTCAAGATTTTCAGCATTATATTTATTTATATTTGTAATATGTTGAGACTCTGTCAAATCTCCATTTCTTTCTGACATAACACAGCAAAAGCTATTATTATTTCTAGGTTCATCCTGCATTGCTCCCAATCGTAGGCATTGATTTTGTAACCTTAACTTTTCCATCTGGTCATCAAGACTTAATTGCTTGAAATTAGGGTACACTTTGCCAACTGGTTTCATTTCTAAATATCCAGTATCGGAGTTTTCTCCACATTTTGTTATTTTATACTTACTAGTCAAGTCATTTTGGGGATTCAGTTCAGTACGCTTGATATTTCCATATGAATTCGGATTATCGCTAGCAATCCTTTTTTGAGCTAGAGTTTCACTTTGCTTTTCAGGTACTTGACAATTTTTAAACAATCTTTGCTGTTGTGAAGTGGTGGATGCCTGGGTGACATTGGAAAAATCAATTTCCATTAAATCACTCATGCGGACAGGACTAATGTAGTTTCTTAAATTTAAAAGTGGGGCACTCGTAGATTTAATTTCTTTTGTAGTATTAAATCCAATAATTTCACTGCATGTTTGAACATCTACATTACAAATACTTCCTTTATGATGATGACCGTTTGTTAACTTAGAAAAAAGAACACCTTGCTGAATATCGCAACGTGGAATTTTTGACTTTGATCCAACTGAATACGCTCGTACCCGCGGTGAAGTATTATCCAGCTCATTTATATTTCCAAGAAGTTTACTCAGTTTAAAATGTTCGACCCTACTTCCAATCGAATAAGCTCGACTTGGACGTTCGCACCTAAAAAGAAAGTAAGTATATATTAAAGTGTATACCAATACAAAATGTATAGAGAAAAGTGTTCGACTTAATGGAACCTTATGTGCACAATGTATACATACAAAAATAAAAAACAAGCGTTTTAATTTTATGCACAAATCAATGAATATAAAATAGAAAAATACTGCAGCCGGGTGCAACCGATATACTCTCTTCACAGTATAATAAAAGTATAAACGAACTGAGAAGAGTTATTTGGGTTTCTTGTCTCTTATAATCTGATTCTACTATGACAAATATTTCTTACTTTTATATAGTTCACATTCTACGATTTCCCCAGCAAGTAACCGTTATCGGAAAAATGGCTGCTTAAACAAAAATATGAACAGCTTGTTTTGGCTGACTTAGGCGCCATAAAATTCTCTTCCCACACGGCGTCGTTGTAAGGGTCCCATTTAATATATGATATTTCTTATTGTATTTTAACATTATGCTTACCATTGTTACTACATCAGCAGTTCGCTGTATCAACAATAAATTTTACATTTTTAATAAATCAGCAGTTTGCTGTATCAACAATAAGTTTTAAATTTTTAGTGCTTTATTTAAAGTTTTTATAATTTGTGAAAATTGCTATATGTTGTGCAGCATAGATTTTTGCTATTTATAGCATTTAACAACCGCGGCACCAGTCTTGAGTTGTTGTTAGTGTTTGTTTTGAGCTAGTATATTTTGATCTACTTTCTCACAGCTGAACAGAAACCCCTGTCAATGTCAGCTACCTGACAAGGGTCACACTAAGGTAGGTGACGTTGTCGTGGCGTGTCGGGAGTGTTTGACATTTGACACCCAATCCAACTCGTTCTAACACGCGTGAACCTGGAAGGAGGCTATCATTATCTAAAAAATAAAGATCCGCTGTATATACAGTAAAAAGGACTAGCTTAAGTGCACTCCTCTGAGGATCCCCAAATTGAATGGAGCGCGTTTCAAAGTGGGCTATCCTGACCTTTACAACGAACTCCCAGCATTCCACGAACGACGCGAGCACCCTTCACGGCCTCTCATGCCAGAAGACGGGACAGCAGAAATCTTTCCTCCATTTCCTTTGCACACATTTCGGCAATCTAATCATCCGAGCGGGCCTAGGACCCATCGCGGCAGCAAAAAAGGGACCTATAAAAAGTTTGCCTCTTGAAGTTGCTGGCACACACTACCGGATCAATGGCACTGAACATCTCCCCAAAGAATTAAGTGTCGCCTGAGCGGCAAGATCGAGTGGATGTCGCATTTTCAACCAGACGCGTAAATTGAAAACTGTAAAGCCAATCGCCGAGAGCAAACAGCCAAAGACCATGACCAGAACAAAACCAATAAACATAAAAATCTATAATTATAACGTACTTATTAAAACCATTTATTTTTTTAATTTATTATAATTTTGTACTTAAACTACAAAGCAGACACAGAAAATTGTGCTCATTTGCACAAACACCTAATGAACAATAAATCATCTTTAATGTCCACGTCAAAGAGCGCAGAGGAGTAAAACAATGTATGTCCGGGGTTTGTAATTCAAGACAAAATGAATAACGCAATTTTGTTTGAATTTAACCAATACATTTCGACTGCACTTCGGCAACCGTCTCCAGGGTACTAACACAAAAACAAAAATCAAAAATAAAATTAAAACAATTACTTAAACAATTAAAAAAAACATACATTGTTTTACACGTCTGCGCTCTTCGACGTGGAGGTTGAAACTATTTGACAATTCAATAGATGTCTGTATAACCGAGCGCAGTTTTCGGTGTCCGTTTTGTAGTTTAGTCGTCTGTTCTTTGTGTAACATTTCTAATGGATGTCTTTGTTATAGTGTTGTTCTTGTTGTAAATTTGGTGTGTGGTTGCTTTTCATACAGTGGTTTATATAATAATTTATTGTTATTCTTGTTTTAAGCTTGGATTTTATTGTGCCGATGTACACTCTGTTGCAAATGTTGTTATTATCCCCGCCACATATTTTGTAAATGACATTACTTTTGTCCATCATTGGTATTTTCGCCTTTGTATTATTAAAGAATTTTTGCAAAGAATTTGTGGGCTTATGGGCTATATTTATTTCTTGTCTGTTATAGCAGTCCGAGTTTAGTGGCCGTTCCGATAATCGTGGTACATATGTCAGAGATTTGTATATTTTTTTAATTATATTCTTTCTTTAAAAGACAACATATCAGAATACAAATGCCAACAGAATCTCTAAAAATATACAAATCTCTAACAAACGATTGCTTGGATATTGGGCATTTATTGATAATCGGAAACAAAGCGTGGGCACTAGGCGGACCTACGTTCAAAGTATTATGGTCTTATAGGTTCTCAGATTGACGCGTTCATACATGCGGACGGACGGACAGAGAGACGGACATGTCTAGATCGACTCGCCAATTGATGCTGATCATGAGTATATAATAACTATCTATTAATTTTTGATGGGTTCAAGGTACAAAGAAAAATACAATAGAATGAAAAATAATAATTTCAATCCATGACGTTAGTGTTTCCCGTCGTTTAAATCCAATTATTATTTGAAGCAATGACAAAGGAAGAAGCATAAGCAACTTAAAAACGGTCTTCGGAACTCCCTATTGATCTGTAATGTTCACTTTTTAAATGACCACAGAATACTTAGGATACTTGGTCGAGGCAGGTAAAATTAGATTTAATTAGGGAGCATTAAGGAATATGCAGAATGAACATTAGATAAAATAAATAGAAACTACTGTTTTACGAAATGACTAAATATTTAATCAAATTTGAAGAAAAATGTCTTTAAAATATTGAAAACACATTCAGGCAAGCTAAAACCACAAAAGTACTCCATTACCAAAGATGGCATACTCTGGAACTCCGTTTTTGTTAAAATAAGCGTGCAACAAGAAAGTTAGTTTATTTTCAGAACACCGAAAATCTAATACGCTTGTAGACATTTGCCTTACTATTTTGCAATATCTTAAAATATCTTAGAAAAAAAGTACATTTTGCAATACCCCATTTTTTTCACCGATTCACCAAAGACAAAGACTTAACCAAAGACAATATAAACACTAAGATGAGTAACGCTCATACAAAGTATTTTTGCTTTATCCATGAAATGCATTGATTTATTTAAATGATACATTGCCCTAGATACTATACAGGAAAATTTAAGAATAAAATAATTTTATCACTAAGCGCATCTTGTGCCATAACTATGTTAGGAAAATAGTACACATAGATTGATTTCACTTTTGTTTTTGGACAGTGTATGCTCGAAAGAAGTTCTTGTCTCAGCCAATAGCGTGCAAGCACCTATTTTCCATCGAAGGAGTTTCGATTTTGCGAAAAAATAGATCTTTGGAAATAAATTTGAACACAAAACGTCATCCACCAAATCTTTGACCTCCATTTCCACCAAGAAGGAACGGATTTTTCGAAATGTGTGAAACATCCCTCAAATGAATTTGAACAAAGATCTTTGAAAATAAGTTTGGAGCCGAACGGATGGTAAACAAAAAACTTTCATACAACCGTTTTCTGCCAATTTACCACTGTTGCGAGTGGAATTTCCCAAATCGCTGAGTTACGTATTTATTAAGTTCTTATGTAGAGCTTTGAAAATAAGTTTGATGCAAATCGGACTCAACTTAAAACTTCGCACAAAAAATCTTTAAATCGCATTCCCCCCGAAGAAGTTTGAATTCTGCGAAAAGTATGAAACACGTCTCAAATGATTTTTCTTATAGATCTCTGGAAATGAATTTGAGCGCGAAACGTCACCCAGCAAATCTTTGACCTCCATTTCCACCAAGGAGGAATGGATTTTCCTAAAAGTGTGAAACACCCTCAAATGAATTTGAACAAAGATTTTTGAAAATAAGTTTGAGGCCGATCGGATGGTAAACAAAAAAGTTACATACAAACGTTTTTCGCAATTTTTCCACACTTGCGGGTGGAATTTCCCGAAACCCCGTCTTAACGTGCACCTACATCACATAAGGTAACTACAGTGAAAATTTCAGTTTCCTAGCTGTTACGGTTTGGGCTGTGCGTTGATCACCAATCAGTCAGTCAGTCTGTCAGTCAGTCAGGACAAACAGTTTTATATATAGAGATGTGTTGTTATTTACTGCTCTGGCTTTGGCTGGCAAAGATATAAATTTTCTTAGTTTCCCAGCGCTTATCATGCATGACCTATCCCAAATTTGTGTTGACATATGAATGCATGTTGTGTACTGAGGTTGGCTGAGGTCATGCATTATTTATTATACAATTTAATATATTAAAATATTTTAAAATATAAGTTTAGCGATCATATCGTACTCAAACAAATCAAACGCAGTTTGATCCCAAGTTAAATGGAACTTTTGTGTTGGTTTACAAACTTAATGTTGACTCCTGAAGTTATTGAAAGCTTTTAAAACTAGCAAACAAATCTTATTTTAAATTCTAAAATAAGAAAAGCTTAAGATGCAATTTAATAAAAAATAAAATACAAAATTACAGAGCTTCCTATCGAGACAATCAAACCAGTTTAAATAATTTATTTTGCCCGAACAAACACATCTAAAATCTGGGAGTCTGACAAATCATTATAATCAAGTCCTTTCAATATTTCATACCTAGAATTTCAAAATTTTGAATTTTAGTCACTTAGGAGATCCTTTAAAGTTTGATTTAAAATTATTTTGATTAAGAAAACTAAACGGGTAATATCTGCAACATAGAGAAACATAAAACGATTTTTGACTCAACACATGTGAAGCTATTATTGGACTGTGAACAGGTGTTACACAGTTGGTTGCATTCGGTCTTCCTATACGTTCAAATATAGGGTTATTATGCTTTTATTTTGCAAATGTTTATATCAGGCAGGAGAAGGTATCCCGACCCCATAAAGTACATATCTATTCTTGAAAAGGTCAACGACCTGATTTTAATTGATCTCGGACACTATAAAAGGTTGAGACATGAAGCTGTAGTGTATTCATGCATGCGCATTGTAACACTTTGTTACAATCTTAAATATTGCCGTTGACAACAATGGATAAACGAACAAACAAACAAACGAACAAATCAAAACATAAGCGCAAGTCAGTGACTCGATCAAATGTAATATGATCAGCCACAAGACGGCCACCGTCTTATGCCGACTTACGGCATAAGCGCTGACCATGCATCCCACGGGCAAGGCCCGGGAGCGCTATGTACGAGAAGTACATAGCTGCACGCGCACTAATACTTTAATGCAAATATATATGCATGTTTACGCACTCCCTCTCTGACGATGTTAGCTTTAACATAATTAGCTTAAGTCCATTTCATGTATCGAAGAATAAAACATAATTAATAAAGTAGCAAAACGGAGCAGACTCTCCGTACAACAAAACAAGTGTTTAAAATCAAAGTGCAAATATATCAAAACATTTTATACATTTATTATCGTCCACCATAGGCCGAATAAGTTTATCAGTTGCTATTGAAGATTTTGCATCACTTCGAAAATATCGATAAGAATCCATTATAAAGACAGAACTCAAAAATAAAACAACTACATAAATCTTGGTATCTACAAAGATATTAAGAAGTTTTCACTTCTGTGATACCTTCCCTTGAAGTTGAAAACTTTTTTTAAAAACTGGAACAACTACAGTGTGGGAACACGGTATCACAAACTAGATAAGACTTATTCCCTAATTTTATACTTACTTATTGTCGACATCGGCGTCTTTTCCAAGTTTTTCAGGTGAGTGCTCGGGAAAATCGATCTTCAAGTCTTCATCGGCAGCATTGAGTAAAGAGTTTGATCCTGGGCAATCATTTAATTGATTTACATTTAAGATTTCGTACGTCGATTTAATTGGTAACATAGAAAAATATTTTTAATAATGAAATAAAATAAGAAGATATTTTCTTGCCATGTTACCTCGAATCGGGCCAGTACCATTACTTCCTACAACTTTGCTGTTGTCTTGAACATCATCATCCATATTTTCTTCGGGTATCATCGCTTTAGATGTCCTTGAGCTGAAAGATATGATAATTTATTTACTTATATATATTTGACTACCAAGTAATTCCCAGCGTTGGACGTGGTAAGTTTTGTGCTTCAAATTTTATAACCATTTTTCAATAAATGTTTTAAAGAATCGAATAAGGAACAAAAGTTTATATTATCGTTTTTCTCCAATGTAAGTTCTGTGGTGAGAACCTTGAAGCCGAAAAATAAACTTTCGTTCATTTTGCGTAAAACGCATCAAAAAAATGTCCACAAAGATCTTTGATCATGAGTACAATTCCAATGGTTCCAATGGTAAACATAAATGTTTCACATTTGAACCCGAAAGTTCACCCACAAAATCGTCATCCCAATTTCAAAAGGGAGGAATGAATTTTGCGAAATGTGTGCGACGCCCACTAAATTAATTTGCACAAAGATTTTTAAAAGTGAATTAAAGATTTAATGTTAAATAAAGAAGTTTCTTTCAATCGTTTTTACGATTTTACCATGCGGATTCTTAGCTATTATGCTGTGCGTTGATTACCAATCAGCAATAGAGATTGAAAAAAAATGTAAAAATGTAAATGTAAAAATGTAATGCAGTTGGCTTTTTGTTAGCATACGAATAATCTTCCGTACAATAACATCTAATGCTGAAAATTTCATCAAGTTCGGTTACGATACATAAAAGCTCTTAAAGGAAAGACGTGCTTATATTCACATGTGTTTGAGGCAGCAAGCGCGAATTGCAAGAATTTCTGAATACGTGAACACACACGTTCCTGCTCGTCTTTATTAAATTCTGTAAACAGCATTGCATTTGCGTTTTTATTGTGTTTTGTGCTGTGTAAGTGCTCATTATATATGTTTTCATCAAAAATAAATTGTTTGCATGGCTGCCCAGCAGAATTTATGGAAAGTAGTTCGGTTGGTTACGTGTTTGAGACCAGTTGGAACCAGAGACCAGGAACCTTTTATATTGAAATATATTTATATTTCTCCTGGTTTCAACGAGCTCATAGTGCGTGCTGCATTTTGATTTCAGGGTATCTCTTGATCGGGAACTCTCGATAGCCTCTTGTTTTACTAATGCCAAATGGATTTTTTTTAATGCTTCTCTTTAGTCCTTGTAGCGCATAACTTATGTTCGCTATCATGCTTACGTGCCTTCCGAATTGTATTTAATGCTGATTTAAGCCCGGACCTCGAGCCAGCTAATAAAATATTTAAGTATGATAAGATCAAAAATTCAGCATTATTTATTTTATTTTTTAAGAAAATTATCATTTTTGTGCGGTATGCTTTATAATTCTTTGACTTGCTAAATGTTGTAAATTGATCTTCACCCCGTAATTTAAAAATTGCAATTGTGAGGTCGCTACTTGGATCAGGCACCCCACAGTTTTGATCCACGGCAAGGAGCCGTTATGTTTATGGCCAAAGTCACGTCAAGGAGCCGTTGGTGTAATAATTTAATAGTTTTGTTGCAAATCTGAATAAGAGCATTATTAATTAAAGGCAAGGAACCGTTAAGCTAATAGTTCACTTCGTTCGTTATAATAAGCGTATAGTCAGTTAAGGGCAAGGAGCCCCGCATAATTCAAGTTTGAATTTAATCCACCAGCGGCGCAAGGAGGAACTGGTAGCGATCGCCCATGAGTTCGGGCTGGAAAAGGAAGGGCGCGTGGAGGAGTTGCGTAAGCGGCTATCCACTTTCGTGCAGGATGGCGGCCAAACATCCGAAATTTGGGCTCGGCTTGCCGCGGTAGAGGCTCAATACTCTAAAACGTTAGAGCCGCCATCCGGGGGCGTCCTATTCGACGTGGGTGGCCGGCCGCGTCTAAAATCGGAGCCCGACCTAAGGAGCTTACAATTGTACGAGCGTCCGCAGATGCCTACCCCAAGCTTTACCGTCACGAGTGTAGGGGAGGCTCATGGCTTCAGGAGAGATGAAGCTCGCCGAGCAACAGCGATCGATGTAGAGGTAGGGCTGACCCCTGCCGAACCGGGTAGTGTTCCCTACAATCCCAGGCCATATTCCCAGTCGGAGATTAGATCTCTCGCGAACGTGCCGGAAAGAGTCCGGAAGTGGGGTATGAGATACGAAGGCCGCTCCGACCCCCTTGGGTTCCTAGAGGACTTAGAGGAGCACGCTATTACGTATGGTAATACCCTTGATCGATTGCCTCGGGCAAAGCGTGAGGAGTTCTGCGACTGGGCCGCTCGTTGGTTCTTGAGTAGTGGACTAAGAGATGTGCAGTGGTCAGAGTTTAGGAGGGGTTTCTTGGAGCTCCCAGCCGCGTTAATTCGAAAGGCTTGAGGATGAAATCCGGTCCCCTAGGCAACGCGTGGGGGAGGAGTTTAGGGAGTACCTTATAGAGTTGAGGGCTTTGATGCACCATGCCAGATATGAGCCGGCACAGGAGTTGCACCGGATATACGAAAACGCTGCCCCCGAATACAGGCTTTACGTGCGAAGGAAATATTTATCCACCTTGTCCCAAAGCCCCAACGCGCCCGTCTTGTTCTGTTGGGTATGTGGGAACCGGGGCAGGAGTAGCCAGGATTGTTGTCGCCGCACGGAGGCGGGTAATGGGCAACGGCGTCGCCCAGGCCAGGATCGGGTCGGCGACGATACACACGTGACTCAGTAATAGGACACCCACTGAAGGTGGGCGGTGGCCGGATCGTTGCTACGGTGGAGATTGGCGGGCGAACGATGCCTGCCACCATCGATACTGGAGCCACTCGCAGCTTCATTAGTGAAAATTGCGTACGCAAGTGGGCGATTCGGGGATGAGCGGAGGACGTACAAGCGCGCATTCGTCTGGCAGATGGGTCCACGCTCGAAGTAGGGAAGCCATTGAGATTAGACGTCAGCCTAGCGGGAAAGATGATCAGTATGGTGATGCTCATTATGCCCTCGATGCTAGACCACGTAATCCTAGGGATAGATTTCCTAGGTGCAATGGGCACTCCCATACGTTGCGGCAAGGCGGAACTGGTCCTAGAGACGGTAGGGAACCGAACGAAGGCCTCCCAGGTCGTGGAAGAAGGGGAGAACCTGCTCGGCAACAAGAAGGAGAGGATACCAAGAGGGAACCGAAGGAAGGCCTCCCAGATCAGGAAAGGGCATTGAAAAGGCATTGAGCCGTCGCGTTGTTCGCACAGCCCTCCAATCGTCTTAGTCAAAAAGAAGACTGGCGAGTGGCGCATGTGCATCGACTACCGGCAACTCAATGCACACTCCATTCCGGATTTATCTCAACTCTAGATTTGAAGCACGGGTACTGGCAGATACCGATGGCAGCCGATAGTATGGAATGCACGGAATTCACTGTCCCAGGAAAGGGTCTTTTCCAATGGCGGGTGATGCCATTTGGATTGCGTTCGGCGTGTGCGACCTTTTAGCGAGCCTTGGACGTATGCGTTCGCCTACCTAGACGATATCGTGGTAATAGGCGCAACGAAAGAGCAGCATGTAGAGAATTTGAAGGAAGGATTGCGCGATGGGCACTGGAACTGCAAAAGCTCCAGTTTGACGTTCACTACCGTTGAGGGAAGCTCAACGTCGTGGCCGATGCAATATCAAGGCATCCACTAGAGACCTGTCAGCAAGTAGTGGTGGCCGAGGCCCCCTGCAAATGGGTCGCGAGTATGCGTGCAAGAATCGCCAAAGAGCCAGCCAAGTTCCCGGACCTCGTAAAAGAATATGGGCAGCTATATAGGCATTTGGGCCACCGAACGAACGATGAGGACTACATTCCCTGAGAGCTATGTGTGGCTAGTGGTCAGCGACAGAGGGTATTGCAAGAATGTCATGATGCTCCCACAGCCGGGCATCAAGGCGTGAGGAAAACCGTGTCGAGGTTGGCCCAGAGATACTACTGGCCGGGGATGTTCCGCGACGCAGCAGAGTACGTGAAGTTATGCGAAGTCAGCCAGAAGTTCAAGAGCGAGCAACTCAAACCGGCTGGTCGCATGCCGACGAGTAGCGGAGCCGATGGCAGAGCTCTGCGCGGATTTCGTCGGCCCCGTTCCATTGTCGAGAAATGGCAACACAGTGCTACTGGTGTTCCATGCTGCTTTCTCGAAGTGGGCGGCTCACTTGCAGACAGCGTTCCGAGAGAGGATTTTGGGTAGGTTCGGGGTTCCGAAGAAGTGCGACAACGGGGTACAGTTTACAAGCCGCAGCTTCAAGGCTTTTCTGGAGTCCCTGGGTGTAGAGGTCCAGTATCCTGCACCGTACTGCACCCAAGAGGACCAATAGGACCGTGAAGACCATGATAGCTTTTGCCGGAGATATCGCTGGGGGTCAACACAAGCGAGGCGGACTCAACAGGGTTCAGTCCCGACTTCTTGATGCAGGATAGGGAGCTACGGTTGCCTGCTGCTTTGTACGATCAGGTGACTCCCGGGTCTGCAACTAGTGCGTTCGACCCTAGGACGAAGGCGGATAGGTTAAGAGAAATCTTTTATATAGCCCATCTCCAGCGAAAATCAAAGGAGCATTACTTATTTTATTTTTTAAGAAAATTATCATTTTTGTGCGGTATGCTTTATGATTCTTTGACTTACTAAATGTTGTAAATTGATCTTCACCCCGTAATTTAAAAATTGCAATTGTGAGGTCGCTACTTGGATCAGGCACCCCACAGTTTTGATCCACGGCAAGGAGCCGTTATGTTTATGGCCAAAGTCACGTCAAGGAGCCGTTGGTGTAATAATTTAATAGTTTTGTTGCAAATCTGAATAAGAGCATTATTAATTAAAGGCAAGGAACCGTTAAGCTAATAGTTCACTTCGTTCGTTATAATAAGCGTATAGTCAGTTAAGGGCAAGGAGCCCCGCATAATTCAAGTTTGAATTTAATCCACCAGCGGCGCAAGGAGGAACTGGTAGCGATCGCCCATGAGTTCGGGCTGGAAAAGGAAGGGCGCGTGGAGGAGTTGCGTAAGCGGCTATCCACTTTCGTGCAGGATGGCGGCCAAACATCCGAAATTTGGGCTCGGCTTGCCGCGGTAGA